ATATCTTATGTATCATGCTTCCACCTCAAACAGGCAGTGCAGAACGATCGTGTCCTGTAGTTTTTCTGGCAAAACACAGACTTTGTGACTCAAGTATGCCAGTATACCGTAGACTATGAATTTTCAGGCAAGCTGAGTCCAGTTCTCTTTGGACTGATTTTTCTCTCTATGTACTTCAGAGATGGATAACGAGATGTCGGAAAATTCTTTATCCTATTTCCCAGTGTTCTAAGTTTGCACTCAGCATGAGACAAACCGAAAAAACAGATATCATAGCCTCCGTTCTGTGCGACAACTAGCATTAAATGAGATGGAACAATCTGTGATTGTACACTCCAGTTTCTGGGGAAATGTAGGAACGTGATCACCTAGATGGTTCGCAAAACAAGATATTGTTACAACTTTATGTCTGGTGACAATAGTTAGATGTATGCCCAAGCGGCCCAGTAGAAGAATGAACAAACAGCCACAGTCATGAATACATATGTACATCCCAGGATTTCTGGAAAGTCATAATTTACGTTTTTTATCAGTCTGCAGAATGAGTGGCCGGGGCATTTTTAGGGAAGAGTTACAAGTGGTCATCTTCAACAAAGGTCCACAGATTACCGGCAGCTGTATCAGATAATTTTCTTTCTGCAACGGAATTTTCTTCATCTCATCTCTACTTTATCATCAGCACTCAAGCACATAAGCATGTTTTGCACTTGAAAGAATTTTTGAAGAAGGTTCATGGATATCCCCAACGTCAAACTCATGTATAGCGCCGATTCCCCATGATTTCATGGAATGTTGCCCATTGCATCACTGCAAAAACACTCATCTCGTTTGTTCAAAAAAACAATCCAGGAATCGGAATGTGCTGAACGACTGCGATCTATAGGATTATGCCCAGTCGTCAATCTTGACTACCGCTTAGCGTGTGACCTTTGTGCCAAAGTGGATATGGTCTCGTCAAAGCAGTCGTTCAGTAACCACTTGAAGGAGCATTTTATGAAAATCATGTAGTTACGCCGAGAAGTCTGTCAAAAGTTGCGTGGAATTAATTTAGCCTGTGGTACATTTTAATCATCCGGAAGCTTCGCTGTTGGCAAGAGCTACACATTTAACCATATGATTCATGAAAGAAACAATTCCAGTACCATTCAATCCTATGTTTTTTACTATACTTGTTTATTCTTTTCCTCTATCAAACCCTCCCCTTGCTAGAACCTACTGTTTTCTGCGTCGACCTCATGGATTCGACATTCAGCCGCAGTACCTCCATTCTTTTACTCTTGACAGGCCAAACCAAATTTGGCGAACATTTTGCACCCGCCTTTGGATAACTTGCGTTATCGTGTGCATTGTGCGCAAGTTTGTCGCTAATCCAGGTCGATTTGCTGCTTAGTCCGGCTTTTTTCGGACTTGCACCAATGCGTGTAAAAACGTGGACGGAAATCCCCATAATTTGAGCTCTAAATCGCTTTCATATACTGTACGTGCGGTACCAGATCTTATTGATAAATCTCTGGATTCAGTAGTTTTTGGCCGGTGATTTGCTCGTCACTCTATTGGACTCATCAGAGTGCGCCAAGTATTCCACAGTACTACTGAAACAAATTTCAAGATGGACATTTTTTGGCTAGCCGCACGCCTGTTTTTTTGGCTAGTCGAGCCATCAGTTGCTATTAGAATGGCGTAAATCAACACCTTTCTTAATTTTTTTACTTCCACAATGTTTTTTGGTCTACTTCATGTCTGATTCCGTTTGAAATTAGGCTCATGCACTTTAATCCCACAATATCTCGTTCCGTTGGTTCCACAAATCCAAATTCAGTCATCTGTGAATGGCCATGTATCGCTAATCTTTTGCATTTGTTCCGTGTTTTATCCGCTACCAATCAGATAACTTCTTTTACTTCACCCAACATTTTTGCCTCAATGATTCCGTCGAGGGAGTGTGGCGTAAAGGTACAACAAGAACGTGGGATACAACAGTTGCTATCGAAAAATGAACCCATAATAGAAAGCCTGATACTTAGGCTCAGAAAATATAGCTACTGGGTTCTCATGACTTTCTACTCCAAAAAGTTTTTTAGCCATGGTATTGTACAATCTAGTTCGCAAATATGATCACGAACGAATTCGAGTTAATGTAGACATTCCTCCCACTGCAACATGGGGCTTACACCGTGGAAAAGTTCGTTAGTAAAAGTGAAATCTTGCAGTCAGCTACACAAGAATTCGGTCAGAAAGTTGAAACGATCAAGTTTGACGCACCCAGGACATCGAAAGAAGCAAGATGTCCAGTAGTTATGAGTCAATCCTTTTGGAAGATGAACGTCAATTTTCGATGTGCATTAGTTTTTTGTGCATGTGCCATATAATGGACGGCACGCGTTGTAAATGCGTGTGGTAGATCGTTAAGTCTTGGAGCCTTTGTAAATAACTTTGGTTTGAACATTGCTGGCGTCATACCGGTCTGTTGGTTGATTGTTTAGTATAGTCTCAGATGTCACTACCGACTGGCATCCTCTTTGAATAGTAAACAATACCTAAGGGAGCACTAAGGTATCTGGTTCCACCATTTTTTACTGCCGGGTTTCATTCGGGTTCTACAGGAACAAGTTGGGTATTAGCTTCCAGTCTATCAGTTCGCGTTCTAACGATTGCCATGCAAATTAAAAGAATGAATTTTTTTCAGTGGTATTTGATGTCCTGTTGGTTGCGCTACCCATGAATCTTTCTTTCTGTTTTTTTGTGGCTGTGGAAGGCCAGTTATTTTTTCAAAGCGATGAACTGTCATTCACTCAGCTCATTCACTTAGATATTCCAAATTATCGTGACTTTGTCGACGTTGGTTTAATGGGGGAAGGCGCAAGTCACTAGTAAGCTTGTAGTAAGACAATGTCCGATTTGGACAACCAATTAGACGAACCGGCGGGTTACTTCGTCAGCACCAGTAACCGAGACGTATGAATTTCTTTACAACATATGAAAACGGGGTACAGTTTTGTCAAAATTTAACCTGGTTAAACTCAAGACGGATTAACGGATTTGAACATCAGTGGCATGCTCATATCCCAAAAAATGAAATAACCCTCTCTGTAAACGGTGACAAGCATAACCGAATGCACTTTGTGTTCAAACCCGCAACGTACATTTTTCCCTCCTCAACTGAGCGTTAACAGAAAACATACTCGTTACAATAATTACCTGCAAATATTTCTATCAGGTCAACTTCGGACGAACCCCTACGGCTCTGTTCAGTCGTTGTGCTCCTGGCCTAACAAGATCGAGTGAGCAATGTTGTGGAATGTAGGTAACTCGGGTGCGCTGTTTGGTTCTTGGTCTGTTCGCCGAGCTTGGCAGCTGGATTGGGTTGAGTGGGTCACCTCAATTGGTGATGAAACGTTTGCAATCCAACTGCCAAGCTCGGCGAACAGACCAACAAGCAAAGGTCGAGTGAGTTAGTGAAATTGCAGTCGCGAGTCGGTTGATATAAGCGGAGTAGGACATCTGATTGTGGTTCACATTCACAGGCTCACTAGTTTTGTGAAAAAATATATTTTTCGGTAGTATTATCCTGCTCAAACAGCCAGTAAGCCGAACAAATCCCCAGTTTCCGGCAATTATTCATGAGGATTAGAGCCAATCGAAACGGTGGTCAAAGGCATCCGCTTTGTGTTCAGTGTTCATAAATAACGCCCAGCAGCGTGACTACTTGACTTCAGCTTCATCCACACACACACACACATTTAACAGCCACAAACTGAACATCCGCTTGAAGGTTGACCGCACGCTTTTAGACGGGTCAACCCTGGTTTCTCACGTTCTCCATGATTACAACTACTTCACTCGTGACAACGTGACCCACGGTGACCAAGAATTCTAGTCGTAAACGATCAATGTGGATAGTTTTTTCTCAACAATACTCAACATAATCAGAGGCAAACACTAAATATTCAGGTTTTACGCGTTCAGCCAAAGGAACAGGATTGCTGAGAGATGCGATCCAAGTGAGTGATGTTTCCGTAGAATAACTTGGGTCTAGACGAAATTCAAGCACATTTGCTCAACATCGCTGGAGTCAGTGTACCACAAACAGCCGTGGTCTCGCACATAAGTAAAAAAGGATGTCCAAAAAACATCTCTACCACTTAACGCTGATCTATATCACTCTGTCTGTTGAGGTGCGAGTCATATGCTGGCAAACGGTGTTGTTTTTTACTGGAGTTTTCGCACTGAAGAAAACTACTACTTCGGAATCTGTGATAGACGAAAGGATCGAGTTGCATTGTATATACAGTAACTGTCCGGCTTCACAAGAGTTACTCTGCAGGACCATTAGGATTTAATTCAACAGTTTTATAGGGTGGAAATCTAGGGGAAAATTTTAAAGATACGGTTTTTACACACTTCTGATAGTTTCACTAACTGTAACACTGGTCTCTGCGAAACGGAACATTTTGTTGTGTCACACCAAGTTTTTCGTTATTTCTCTGAAGTCGTGAAGTAAATGTGAGTTTATTATCTAACAGGCGAACTTGATTCAGCTCCAGAGAGACAAAACTAACCACACTTGTGATTTGCGAGTCAGTCACTTAGACGGATATCCGACATGATGAGCTTGTCAGTAATTCGCTGCTGTCTACACTTTGAAGGACAGGTGACTCCACAATACAGTCATGCAGTGCAGCGAGACAGTGCAAGTAATGATGGATCGCGTCTTTTAAATGTTGGGTCTCAATGACACAATGGATAGTCTGACATTACCCATATGCACACCAACAGCACCATGTAATGTTCAGTATAGGTGTTATTTTCTATACACATCTTTTACAGTGGGTCAGAGTTGCCTCTCGTCAAAACCTGTACATTCTGCTTGTCAGTCCTAGAAATAAGAGAACCCAGCTAAATGTTTCACTTAATTTCATTCGTTCTCCAAAAATACTTTACAGCGGTTACCTTAGGTAATGGTTCTTTCAACCAAGTTGCCATATACTTGCACACACCGTTTAGGGTAAATATGGGAACAAAAGCGATTCTTGAACCTCATTCGTACCGTAACAATCCATGGTTTCTGACTCCGCAGAATCTACCGAAAGTCTGAAGTAGCCGGGCAAGCATTCACACCTGTTCTGCCCATAATCCCGAGCCACGGAGTTAAGGGGACAGACCGAACACTTGTGATTGCCAGTGTGTTGCTTGTAAGTTCCACGGGGACAACCTACAGATTAAGAAAAGGGATTAGAGATATATTTGTACCAAATTACTAGTTCACTTAAACTCTAAACATATTGAAATATCTTACAGGCAGTACTTGAGGAGACGACTAAATGAACGCATTTCCTTGGGATGTTCATGTTTGAACATGTGTTGTTCTGATACGGTAGGTATGGCATTTCAAAACGAGTGGAATTTACTGGTATGTTGTTCAACTTCCTCTTTGGAGTCTGACAACTCAACAACCCAGTTGTGAGCCGTTGTCTGAAAGACTTTGGAATCTCTATAAAATTACATTCTACTCGTGAAAATATGGTTTTTGTGTGGTTAGTGTCGGCAGCAATTTCTTTTGGGCTTGATGTGTGGCAATGTGTTCGAAATTTGAACGCTGAGTTCGTATCCTTCACGTTATATTCCTTCTTTTAGAAATTAGGATTTATTGGTAGCAAAAAAAGTAACGGCTTTGAATTTTGTTCCGTAAAATTGTGGTTGCGAACTTCCCCTAAGGGTTTTGACGGGATCTCGAGTCTCAACAAAGTAAGCGACGGCTGAAAACACAAACTTCAGTGTCCCAAAATAAATCTGCAGATGACCAGATGTCAGGTTTAGGTGTCCTGAGAGACGTGCTCTTCCTCGAGTTTCATGCGGAATCAACGAACTCTCATTGAAATACCTAATTTGCTACGCGGTCACACCCAGTCTCCTGCTACGAACCGTCAAACTTCTAACGCACTCATTTTATAAATTTTCCGGGGAATTTTTATGAAATTGTCCACCTCTGTCAACATGAAAATGTGTGGGTTTTTTTGCTTTTACCATCAGTTAACCTTGGCTGCGAAAACCTTCTATTCCATTTATTTGGTTATTGGGCACGTCGTTTTGATTTATGAGTTCTTGCCACACAACATGTGTCGTGCATGTGCCATATCTCTAACACACTTATTCTGAGGCATTTTAAAACGCAAGGACTTTTCTTTCACCTGCGAAATGCAGCAGGATGAAAAAAGCTGCGGAAAGCCAACAGTTTCACATCACAAACAAGAATAGATGACGACGAATTGGAACAGAGTCGAGCACATTGCGAATCAGCCAGAATTCCAAGGTCGGTTTGTGCCACGGTCTTCTGTTGGGACCAACTTTCTAAAACATATTTGCATAAAATCCTGTTCGTTTCCCCAGTATAGATTACAAGTTAGCTACGTACGAACTGGTATACAACATGTAAGGCAGGAAGGCTATGTACAGTAGGCGGGGCAGATTACTGGCTGAACTGTCTCATTCGTGAGGGTAGGATTAGGAGTTCGACAAGAACTACGTGCCTTCATCAGCTACAAGTAGCCACCTACTCAACTAATCCTGCTCTCACCAGTGCGATCAATCAATCAAGGATACCCCGTAACTACTTTTTTCATCTCGTATACCTGTTCATATGCGGACGCGATGAAATTTATATCAACAATGAGTTTATTTCGGAAGTCTGAAGGATTGTAAAGAAAGACCAGAAAACTACTGCTGGATCTGCTTTAAATGTCGTGGCTTAGGGTGGTTCGTCATAAGTATTATGACGGGCGACGAAAAACCAAAAGTTGGGCTCCCACAGCCTTCATCCTAGTAGTGCATTTTCAACTTTTTGATAAAAGCAAAATGGGGGGATGAATTTCGCGGGGTGAGGAGACTAACGGACTGTTTATTTGCTTGAGGCTGTCTTCACCAGATTTGCTACAACTTGTCATTTCAGCCGAGATTTGGGAAAAAGATACAGCCCGTCCGACAATCAGTTTTGTACATCTATTTGTACTTTCGCCCAGTCACCTACATGCAATATCTTCGACTTGTGAAAGACTGAAATTTTCTGACTGTACAATGCCGACACTGGTGAGCTGTGGGTGGTTGTCCTGGCTGTGGTGGGTTGTCTTCAACTCGATACATTCATAATAATCTTCTGCTCGTAATTCCTGTGCGCACCCACAGACAATTAGCTCCAAACCAGTGTGATTGAAACCAGATAAGTTATTACAGAGTCGTTATCCCTAATCTGATATTGAGTGGAAAGATCCATAAGTCAACCAATAACTAGAGACGTCATGGAGTGCTTAATTTCTCAAGCTGATATTACCTGAAAATTTTACCGAAAAGCCTGGTTTGATAACGCAGCAAACGAAGGAATAATTTTGCCGCGTGTGAGTCAAACGCACCAAGTAACAGCAAACAGGTGAATTCATCATAGAAAGAAGTCAGCAATCATCTGTGCGTTGTTTTTCATACGGAGGTTTTGTAGCCGAAAGAATGCTCTGCTATTAGACCGGATGACAGTTGCTGAAAGTGGTTCCTCTCACTCCTTAATGGTCCTTGACACTGCCCGTGAAAGTTTGCCGGACTCTTGGATGAACTATCCATGAAGTCCGGGAAAAAAGGGGTCTTTGTTTGGAGCCCCTTTACATCGCCCATATTTAAAACGACAACTTTTATTTAGCATCCGCTTTTGATCAATCCCATCAAGTTCATATTTTGACCATGCATTATTGCATTTTCTAGCTAGTTTACTATTACGGCTTTATCGTTTTCGAAAAAGTTTGGTGACAATCGGTAGATTTATGGCTGGGCAACGTTTCGCTTTTGACACAAAAGCTTCGTCAGGCCAAGTGACTAAGTTCCGAGGTTGATCGAGGTTTAAGGCGGAAGGAGAACCAATCAGCTAAGTCAAGCTAAATCTCTGTTGGGTGTCGGTCGAGGGATTTTAGTGTGTTAGAGTGGTTGAACAAGTGTTGGGTCGGTGGGGAAACCTACATGTGTTTGGGTCCTGCCTAGGATCTAGTTCTTCTGGTTCGGTTCATTTGATGGTTCCTCTTGAACTTCGTTTGAACCTTCTGTTGGTCTGTGTGGGTGAGCTAGTGCTAAGCCGCTTTCCATACGCTCGCTAGCTCCACACCCTCGATCCTATTCACGCTGTGAGGCTTAGTGATTCCCACCGCCTCGGCTGTCAGCCGTTGTGGTGTGAATCTCGATGATCCTCGGAACCTAGTCACTTGGCCTGACGAAGCTTTTGTGTCAAAAGCGAAACGTTGCCCAGCAATAAATCTACCGATTGTCACCAAACTTTTTCGAAAACAATGACTACCCAATCGGTTTCAAGTGTTTTCCACGTGATTGAACATATTACGACTTAACTTTCGATAATTCAGCACCAACCTATACCTAACAATCTAATTACCATGCGCTCTTATTTGTTCCTTGCCATCCGGTGAAATGTCGCTGCCGCAAACAGAGAAGACGGGAAAGTTTTGAAATCTGGCAGATTACTTGTTCCATGTAAATGCTTTTTATGTAATAACACATTTGAGGAATAATGCGCCCAATGTTTGGAATCATATATGCGATCCCCACATTTTAGAATATTGCGAAAACCAGACTGATTTACCTTGAGGCGGTGGATGAAAATCAGGGTGTCCCACGGCTATTATTATTTAGCAGCCGCTAGCATCGAATTCACTACGTTAAACTTGCACCTACATAACAGACTCGACCAGACCGACATGCTAGATGATTTCGTCCATGCAGAAAATCTCCACTTATTCTGATCTTATCTTTTATAGTGAAGGTGAGTTGCTTCGCTGGTTTCTTTTGTGTTTCATTTGATGGGAGTAAAGTGATTATCTTCTGAATTGCTCAAATCAGCTTGCGGAGCTTTGATTTGGTGTTCACAGTATACGTTTTCATCCAAGTGGCTGTAAACAAAACTGGTGGTCTTTATCACAAAACCTGCGCGTGTACACTTCAACGCAGTCTATGCGGTATTAGGACAAGTTTGCCTCACGTATTCTTACCACCGACTTCGACCTTCATCATCTGCACAAACTCACAGAATCCAGATCGGTAGAGGAACAGAGGAGGGTAGTTATACAACCTTCAGCGCACGCCATCGATAACTTGTGATCTGGATCGCGAATGGGGCCACCTTCTGATAGTAGATCGTGTTGTTAGTACTTCAAACGGCTTGTATTCGCATCCGTAATGATTATATGAGAAATCGGATTAGGGTATTTCGAGATATTTAGGAGCTGTTCATTAGTATGGAAGGACTAGACAAGTGACGGAGCCAATCCATAAGCTGGAGGCTCAGGTGGTCACAACAAAACTTGTCTTAAATATACTGAACAATGTGAGGAGTCGACCAAGGCAGCTGATACACACAGTAGAATAACACCTTCGACCACAGTTTCGATAACATGGATTTCCAAGACGGTACTTGAACCTGCATATAATCTGAGTATTGTATGCAACTACAATTTCCGGTGCACAAGAGGCACTGTGGCACTTTTTTGCAGGTAAGCATTCAACCCATATCTTCTAACAGTATGTATACTTAATGACGATTTCTAGGTACCCAAGGAATATGTTTATGGAAACGCTGTTTCCTGCCGTAACCTCACCGCTTCTGCATATCCATATATAAGTGCTACGCGCCCGGCAAGTTTGAATCTCCGGGAATCGACTCGCTTGTTCTTGAGCTTCTAGTAGAATACTACGATTTTAGAGAGAGCCCTTGATTCGAAGCTGGTTCAGGATTTCATCAAACAACAAGAATTCGACTTGATTAAATACCTACTAATCCAGCGATATGGAAGATGTGAAAGAGCTTGAACTCAATCAGCCCCTCGGTGACAGTTACCATACGAGTGATCACGAAGCGCTATTCTTAAGATGCCAATGGGAAGGAAGTGACACGCTGAAATGCTTGGCATGTTGGCGAAAGCATGTTTCAATTATCAGCATGGATGTATGCTTTGTGAACAGAAAATACATTGTGCTTCGGAAGAGAGATGCAATGAAAAATTTCATAAAAATTGTCTTATGAATCAACGTGAACTTATACATCCGAAACGAACTCACAGTTTTTGGTGCACGATAATCGAAACGCCACTATGAGTCATGGTTGCTCACGGATTCTGAAGCGATGATTGGTGCAGGAGCCTAAAATGATCCCTAAGCTATTTTCTTCAACATTCATCGCCAGATGCATAGCGTCCAACAACGACTCCTCTTGGTAGCTGTTCAGGCAGAATAGTCAGACAACATTAAACCTGACCCGCTTCATAGGCATTAACAGGTTTTCCGCAGTATCAACATTAATCTCTGGCTTCCTGGCTACGATACAGCTTGACGTGTATCACGTTGGATGTTGCAGGAAGGTGGAACCATACTTGCCAGGCTAGATAAACTTCTCCTACAATCCCTCACGATTCCGGGTCTAGTTCTAGCTAAGCTATTGTCTGAGAATTTCCAAAAGTTGATAAAAAAAGGCGATTAGTGTGAACGAATTAATAGAAAGAAGGTTTATCCAGTGTTGATTCCTGTCTTCTATTTTTTTATAATGTACAACTCGATTCCCCTTTTTGTTAT